AACGATTCATTAGCAATTTCCTTGAAGAAGTAAACTTTTCAAATGCTCTTCGCATATATGTTGATACCTCTGATTCATTAAATCATCGCAATGCACCACTCCTTTCAGCCCTCATTTCCCACATCGCAGCGCACGAGCTTGGAATCCTTCCCCCCATGTTTTCGCCAACAGGCGCACAACCTTCTTACCTCCTTACTCTTCTTCCCAGTCTTATGTAATCCAGTCGATAGAAAATCGTACGTTTTTGGTTCGCACGCAACCTCCGCCCTAGCAGTTCAACATTAACAACTATACCATACGCCCATGGCAAACAAAAAGCCCAGCATCTTTCTCTCACAACCCACAAATATTCCTACACCATCGAAGGAAAACAACACTCAAAACCCATGAAGATTGAAACCGCTATGAAGATGAGTTACTCTTCTCAGCCTAAGCCAATTCTCTGGATAATTTGACCGCTGACACGCGGGTTCGACAACGCGACCAAAAGTAATCATCTCATCGCTCCCGACCGCAACTTTATCCTTGTTGATCTAACTGCGATAAGCTAAAAATCTCATGGTCCCATAACTAGGACTCATGTCCCTCTCCTTAAAGAAGCAATACCTCCACAATTCTTTAGTTTCCAACTCTCAAAGATTTCTGTCAGGGAAACCTCTACTCTCCCAATTTGAGTTATCCACAAACCCAGAGTTACCGCGCCACTCTCCTAACCATCTCTTCCTTCCTACAGATGCCGCACCCTTGACTCTTAGAGACCCACTTGTTTTACTGCGAACTTCACCTATCACTCTTTCCTTTCTAAAATCATCTCATCAATTGTTTTTCTTCCTTTTCCCATCTAACAATCAAATATATTGCGACCATCGGTCCACTTAACTCAACACTACCTTCTGGGACCCCAACACAAACACACCTACCATTAATCAGTCTTAACAAACAATAACACAAAGGAACTTAAAAAAAAACTAACAAACTACGCTGCTTATTCATCTTACCTTGCGCATGAGCGTCCTACACCAACTAACAATCACTGCTCAGGGCATACCACAATTCCAACGACGTTTATGCCACCAGAAATTTAGCTTATGTCCTATCTTATGTAAAGTCTAATTTCGTTTCCATAAGGTAACTTTAACTAGCACCTCTCCTCTCTTTCTTTCTCTTTCTCTCTTTCTTTTCTGCTTTAAAACTTTTTCAAAATTTCTTTCACCCAAACCTAACGTGTATGGGTTGCGGGTAAGAAAATTGCCTTTCTACACCTGTATTTATAATGTCTTATATGTGCTATGATGAAAATAGGTGAATAGTAAATTTGAGTAGTTTTTAAAAAAAAAAAACTTTGAATTAAGGACTCAAATAAACGATAAAAAAATTAAACTTTAAAATGTTTAGTTTAGTTATTAGATTTCATTAATTATAAGCTAATCTAAAATTAAATATGCAATTCAAAAATTGAAAAAAAATATAAAATTACAAAAATTAGAGTGAAGATTATAACATGGGGGTTTTTTTGAGAATGAGAAGTAAACATAGTTTTTTCTATTTATCAATGTCTTGAGTTACTCCACAAAATTTTTCAAACCTAAAATTCAATTTTGGCCGTGTAAATTTGAAAACAAAGAGGAGCAGAAACTGTTAAATGACTTGTCTTTTTTATAAGTTAATAATAGTTTTTAAATTAAAATAGGAAACATGTGGAAGAAGGACTAAATAGGCAAACATGTAAGGAAATACCCTATTGGTGACACCTAAAAAGAGAAAAATCTACAGCCAGTCCTCACCTCTTAAATACGACAAACTCTTAAACTTTTCATGTTTATACCTTCACCCTTAATCCAACCCACAACACCAAAAAAAGAAAAAAAAAAAAAAAAACACAAAAAACACAGAAAGCCAACTCAGGAAAAATTTTAATCTCTGCTCGAGCCCCTACGGGTGCGCCCACTGGCCCTTTCCGCGCCCCTCACACTCTGCTCCCGCCTTTGGGCTGCACCCCTCCGGACAAGAAGTGGTATGTCCACCAAACTTGCTACATATATAACCTACGATCGCCAATTTTCACGATATATGACAACTAAACACTTGAACCACTGAAGTGATTGCATTTACACAATATTTACTGTTTTATTAATTGATCGTATAAGATTTCACTTAATCTTCATAGTAAAAATTATTTTAAACATTATAAAAAAACTAAAATATTCTAATTCAATATTATAAATATTAAAAATAAAATGAAGTATCAAGTAAGCTTTCTAGAGCAAAGTATATAAATTAATTCTATGTATATTTTTTTTTTTAATTTAAATAAGAATTTATGCTTTTAGTAATTTTTTTATCAACAATATATATTTATTGTATATTATTATGGAGGGAAAAACTTATCACTTTAATATTATATGCATAAAAAAATCAAACAAGTACTAAAAGCGAGTATATCAATGTTACGTTATAAAAGACAAATTACTAATAAAGGGAAGAAAAGAACAAATAATCATTTTAAAAATTTATCAATTAATTAATTATATTGAGTTTAATTTATTTTAATCCCTCCTGGGGTTAGATTTAGAACCTTAAAATTACTAAAGATTTTGTTGAAAATAGCCAAGTTTTATATCTATTTATAAAATTAAAAAAATATTTAGGAGTTATACTATCTATCTATATTTAATCTAATGTTCTATAAAGTTGAAGCAAAATCAATAACATTTGTTTTTGATGATAATAATTGTTAAAACCAATAATTTTTTTTTTTGTTTATAATTGCCATTTATTTATTGTTTTTGAGCAATCTCGCATAATACCTATAATCTCAATTTGACTTAACCCCTTCTTACAAGGTGGACGTGCCGATTGGATATTGGTTGTGTTATTGAACATATAATTTTTTAAGTAACTTTTAAGCGTTTTGATCAATCAAAGAATGCTCACGCTATAAATAACTATTTGAACTGTTTTTAAAGATTAAGTAGGTATTTTATAAAATGTTAACATCTTTATAACGTTTAGTTTTTTTAGGTGTTTATTGAAAAATTATCAAATAGTTTACAACTATTCAAGATAGCTAAAACAGCTATTCAAAAACATTGAATTTTTGGCTGACGAGAGACCCATAACTTTCTCGAATGATGAAAAGATTACATTAAAAAGACCTATCCATGTCCCGACTCATGATATATATCTACCTTTCAGTGGTGAGTTTGGCTGAATCGAACTAAAAAGGAGGATAAATAAAAAGGACTTGTCTGAAGTTCGAATCCCGGAATCAGAGATAATGGGGCTACCAAAACTGGATAAGAAAGAAATGGAAGTAAGGCAGGAAGAAGGAATATATTATGAATAAAGTAAAATGAGGAAAGAGAAAGGAATGAAGGATAGATCATTGGACAGAATTTCACGACCAACAAAACAAAAACATTTGTATAATGACAGAAATGGAATATTCTAAATTAAAAGTCAGCGTGTAGTTGAGCCTCTCCGTTTGCTGCGGAAGAGTTGGACAACTGTGTGTGTCCGCGGGGTTCCGTGTCCTGGGTTATGCGCCCCGTTGTGTGCCCGGTCATGTGCCCACATGCCCTTTCATTAAATAGTTATTAGTTCGAACCCTTCGTGTTCTGAGAATAGAGTGGATCATCCATCCCATGCCACCATCCCACTTCATCCAGCGACATCACTCAGTTCAATCACTATCCTCGGTCGTCAAGAATTAGAAATACTAATCATACATCAATTCCATTCAATTTGCCCCCCTTCTAAATTCTTCACTAGATAATCATTCCCGTCGGGTCAACTATTAACTTTTAAACCCTTCGATTTACCAGACCATTAGTCCTTTTAAGTTTCAATGTTCAATTTTACCCCCCCTTGCCGTCATTGCACATATAAAATATTCAATTTTCCAATTGTGTGTGAGAATAGAATTGGTAAGGAAGTACAAGTAAAAAATAGGAGAAAACGTTAATGTTTGTTATAAGTTGTTTTCTAAGAATTGAGTGAAATTGATCAAGCAAGAAGATAGTTTTGGATCAAATTAAACATTTAGCAAAAAATAGATGAGGAGATCGAAATGAGAGAGCTTAACCTTTGTGGTATTTAAGTCTAACTTTGTATTTAGCATTTGGCAATCATGTTCCCTTTTAAGATTCGGCGCCGAGGTTTCCTCCTAATAGTTCATCCTGTTATTAATTTAATAACAATTAAAATTAAAATAATATATAAAATTGCAGAAAACTGGCCCCACAGTTGGCTATTTATGAGAAGTGTGTAGGTCCGCGTGTTGATTGGGGTGAGTTAGAATTAGAAAACAAAGCTTGACTCTTAGAACATGGAGCAGCAAATGTCACCGAAAACACATTGCGAAGTGTAGTTGCGCTACAAACGAACCGAGCAGACCCACAAAGCCCGAGGCTCTTCTCGATGCGCACCTCTCTTGATCTTCCACAACGACATATGTTTTGAGATAGCTGAATCACCAAAAGCTTGGCGGTCCTCACAGTAATTAAATAACTCTATCTTAAATAAACCCATTTCCGTAAATTTACTTCTAATTATCATCAAAACACCCCAATAATCCTATTTGCTTTACCATGTAGAAGCAACTCCAAAATCAGGTTGCACTGAAGAGTTGATGGGTTGGAAAGGGTTGACAAATACCATTATAAAAGAGAAGCCATTTACAGGTACTACTATTTATTTTTTTTAAATTATTTAAAATTAACTATTAATTACCTAAAATAAAGAACGTTTCAAGATATTTTAAATTATGAGTGTATCAAATGGGTACTATATACCTAGAATAGATTAATTAATCTTACAATCCATCCAAAACAGAGGTATGAGACTATAGGATATTACGATGGAAAAAGCAAAATCATATATATATATATAATATATATATATAAATATATATATATTAACAAGAGAATAAAAATAAATTTGGAGAAAATAATATATTTTTAACACGAATTATTTATTTATTTGTTGGTGATGGTCAGAAATACAGACTTGGACAACAACAAGCTCGAAAACAAAATACTAAACAACATAGTCAGGAGAATACCGGTTAGATAGTAACTACTCTATTTATTATTTCTGAAAATAAACTATTGATTAATGTTTTATAATTAATTTTTTATTATTTATATTGGTTATACTGATAATCTTATTCATACACTTTGTTTAAAATATCAGGGATGTCTTATGTAAATTTCGGCAATAATTCTTCAGGATTAGCTACAGCTTCATCTCCAGTTAATGACCAACCAAGGTATGCATTAATTAAGTTCGCTAAATATATAATTTAACCCTGAAACTTTCATAAGATTTTATTTTTTAACTTTATAACTCCCTAAACTTTATTTTTTTACCCTGTGGTCCATGAATTTCATTTTTTTTATTTCTAACCTCATGAAACTGAATTTCCTAGGAGATTATTAAAAAATAAAATAAAATTCAGAGTGCCTAAAGTCATTTTTAGAGTTCAGGAGACCATAAAGTATTTTTTTTTTTTTATGAAAGTTCAATGATTAAATTATTTATTTGGCCTAAATAAATTAATTTGAAATTATTTCATTGCAAACAAATTAAATTAAAATGCAAGTTTTAGGTATGAATTTTTTAATTTAGTTTAATTATTTAATTCATTTTTAGTATGTAATTTTATTATACTATTTAAAAAATAGGCTAATTTTTATCTTTTATTAAATTTAGAATCTATTTGTAAATTTTATTAATTGTAGCATAAGCATAATTAATTTTATAAAGATCATTTGCATCCTTGCCTCTGTTAAATTTTGGATAACAGTCAATTTTCCCTTTGAACTTATTTATGATATGCATTTTACTAGGAATAACTTTTTGGATCAAATTACAAATTTCGGCTATTGATAAATTTATTTCAATAAGTGAGAAAAATAAAATAATATTTCTCACATTTTTAACTGATAAAAACTAATTAAGAAATTCAAACATTAAGGGAAAATAGGAGGTCCATTGCCATTTTCTTATAAGGGTTGTTCGACAAATTTAGTTCTTCTAGTAGCTGTTAACTGTTTTAATAGCTGTCAGCTATTTTACTAATGGTTAGCTGCTAAATATTAGCTGTTAGTGGTTAACGATTATATAGCAATTTAATATAAAATGATAAAAAAGGTATGAAAGCGAGGAACAAGGTAAAGACAAATGATGGGTATAGGTGTCATAAAAAAAATTATAAAACGCTAAAACTTAATGAAGATAAGGTTTCATAAAACATTGTGTCAAACTCTAAATGTAAGGGTAGATATTATATTACCGAACTCCATAATTAATTAAGATAATATTTCAATTCTATCAAAACACTAAACACCGTTTAAAACCCTGCTGCCAAATAGGCCTAAGTGTTCAATTATTAGTTTAATTAGCGTCTATGGCAAAGGGAAAACAAAAGAGAAAAAGGTGGTAAGTGCTTAAAGAGAGGCAAGAGAAGTAGACTTCTTGTGGCTTTGTAGAATGTAAAATAGGAACGACAAAAAGAGGCAGGGTGGAGTAGGCATGGCCACCGGTTCGGTTCTAACCGGAACCGAACCGTACTGTAGACGAACCGGAACCGGACTGAAACCGGCGGTTCATAATTTTGAACCGGATTGAACCGGAACCGGCGGTTTAAGAGCCGGTTAAGGTTCATGTGAATGTTAAAATCTAAACCTGAACCGGCCTTGAACCGGCGGTGAACCGGCGGTTTCGGTCTAGTTCGAGCAGGAAATTTCTATTTTTATTTTCAAAATAATAATCACTTAGCCTATTTTATACATCTCTAAAAGTCTCCATAATATTTTATTACACAATATACTTTACTTAAGTTTTTTTTTTTTTAAATACACTTTACTTTAAAAGTTAAAAATCTAAAAAGTAAAATGGTAAAAAAAAGAGAAATATTTAGTCAAAACTTTTATTGTTTTTAACTTTTTTTTTTTTACAAAAAAGAGTGTAACGGATAGTTTTTGAATATGATAGTGTTTTTTTATGTTATTTTTTGGTAAATATTTATTCATTTTAATCATTATTTTATTTTATTTACTGTAATTTACTAAATTATATAAAGGACAATTTGGAAAACTAATAAATGAGACACATGTATAAATATGATGAGTTGATGATTTTTTTATTTCACAATCAATTATATCCTAAATCTTCTCTTATTCTCAATCAAAATTCTCTCAAATTTCCATAGTTCATTATTTTTTCTATTGCTTTATTTTCCTTAATGTTGGAATTATCTGTTAAAGTATTACTGTGGGTCCCTCCAACATATGAGACCCACACGGTTTGAAGAAATAAAAAGGAAGAAGAAAATTTGTTTTCGGTGGACGCGTTAAATATTTTTCTTAGATTGAAAATAATAATTTGTCAATCATTCCATTAATTTTATATTCCATTATAGTTTTTTATTATTAGTAATTAGCAATTTGAAAAATGTTTAATATAATAATAGTTCTAAGTTAGTTAATAGATGTTTTCTTTAAAATTATAATAATTCATTTTAGTTAAATAAAATTTAAACATTTAAAATTATTATTTTATTCATGGAATACGAACAAAAATTGTTATTATTTTTTTAAAAAATTTGCAGTAATGCGGAACCAGAATCGGACCGTATTTGAAACCGTCGGTTCACGGAACCGTGCTGAACCGTGCCGGAACCGGACCGAACTGGAGGGTTCAAGGTCGGTTCCGGTTCAAAGATTTTAAATTCAAAATTTTAAACATCTCGAACCGGCGGTTCAGTGAACCGGAACCGGCGGTTCACTGAACCGGCCATGCCTAGGGTGGAGGCGGAGGAGACTAGAGGTGAAGAGGTAGTCAGGTAGATATAAATATTGGTGGTTGTTTTACTTTAGTGTTTAACGTTTGGTATTTGCTTTTTTTTTTTTTAGTTATGACATATACAGTGCCAGTAGCGGCGGCAGTGGCCGTTGGCTGGTAGTGGTGGTGATATTGAGTGGCATTTGATGAACCAGAAAGACTGTGTTAGACAATAATTTTTTAAATAACTTCTAGTCAAAATACTAAAGATTAAAAATAATGTTCGATAATATATTTTGAACTACAGGTTAGAGATTAAGGTACACTTGTATAAAAAATTAACTTATGTGATGTTTAACTTTCAATATCGGCTTGACTTATAAAAAAAACTTCAAGATATGCGTGTTGTTGCAAAAAAACATTCTAATCTGACTTTCGTCCCCTTAGATTAAAAACATTATAATATTATTACTCTAAAATCAAATTCACCTAGGTTTTGAATAAAAAACTATTAAAATAGATTCCACCAAACCAGCTTGGTTACCTTAACCCAAACCCCCTGAAAATGATAAAAACTCACCGTTTTGATTTCATCTTCCCCTTCTCTCTGAAATCCCTAATTCTCTCCTTGCTTCCTAATTTCATGTGAGCTCCGGGTTCTGCTTCATGTATTCTCACAGCCATTGACAACAAATATTACGCAGAGGATTACCATTCCATTCTCTTGTGCCTTTGGTGTGATAAAGCATCGACTCGGGCAAATATAAGAGAGTGTGGAATCTGGGACAGACGAGGAGTCTGGAGTTCCAACGCTGCAACTGCATCAGCGAGTGACAGTGAAGCAGGAGTCTGATAGACACATTTCACTTCAAGGAGTGCAGATCCCATAAGTGATATGGTGTCTGACTCGGTTGTAGCTCTAGTTTTGAACATCAATCGGGAGATGCCAAAGGTTGTAGTTGAGTCAGAGGCCGTAAACTGAAAGGAAAAAAAAAAGTGAAGAAAGCAGAGAAGGTTAGGAGATGTAAAACCTGGAGAGAATGGGAAGTTGATTGTAAGTGCTGATGGGAACGTGGCACAGCTGGACAAACAGAGCGGAGATGTTGAGAGTGAAAATGCAGGTCCCAAGGAAAGAGTAAAGACTGTGTTTAGGCGAATTCAAAGTGCAGTGAGGCCAATTCCACTCTCAGGATCATAACTTGTTCCCATTATTTTGAGTATAGGTTTTAACATGCGTCTGAACTGTGAGGATAATTACATGGACTTAGGAAGCAAGAAGGAGAGAATAAAATCATAACGTTGAGTTTTGATCACTTTCAGGGGGTTGGTTAAGTTAACTCAGCTGGTTTGGCGGGCTCATTTTTAATATTATTTTATTTAAAGTCCTAGCCAAATTTGATTTAGGGTGATAATATTAAAAGTTTTTAATTTGGGGTATGAAGGAGACGAATTTCAGGTTAGACTTTAGACTGTTTTTGCAACAACTTGCAAATCTCGAGAATTTTTTTTTAGGTTAAATTCTTAAACAACAATCAGTTAAATATTATTAAAATAGCTAATAATTATCAAAATAATTAAGTTTGCTGAACAGATTTAAAGTGAAGAAAAGTAGAGAAGAAAATGAAAGGTTAATTAAATATTTTAAAGCAACTTTATTTTTAAATTTGAGTTATTCTCTAATTTTGCTAGACAGTTCTTTAAAAATTTTTAAATAGATTTTGTCACACACGTCAATTGGAATAAATTGATCATGAGCTGAAATTTATGTTCTAATTAAATTGATCCAGAAGAATGAAAATACCATTTTGGATCAGATTATATAACTTAAACAAATTGAAAAGGAAAATTAAGCATAATTGGTTTAAATTTAAGCACATTTGAATTTATATTTTAAGTAAAAGATGGTAGGAAAAAAAAAAAAAATATATAAAGATGGTAAGGAAAAAAAAAAAAAAAAATATATATATATATATATATGACATGTGTAATGCCTTAATTGTTTATCTTTATATTTATTTGAAAATAAATTGATGTATGATTGTTTATTAATTGAATTCAACCGTCCTAAATGTAATCGATTAATATAACGTTAGAAAATTAATAAAATATTAAGTAATAATTTATATAACTTTAATGATATAAATAACTTATATAGTTTATGAATTTTAATGATATGAGCAGCTATTATTTTATATTAAAAATTAAAACTTATTTTTATTAAATTAAATTATGTTAAGTATAATTGATTAATTAAAGTATTAGAAATTAATAACATGATAAGCTGATGATTTATACAACTTTTAATTATTTAAAATAAATTTTTATTCATGAATTTTAATGAAATACCGAGTTAAATATTTTTTACATTAGTTTTAAAATAAATCAAATTAATGAATTTTACCACCTTTCATTTTACTTCTTTTTTTATTTATCTCTATAATTTTTAACATTTTTAATCCATACTCCTGAACACATGTCTCTCTACTAATTTTTATTCTAATAATAAAAAATCACGGCTATATATTTTTTTTTTACCATTGATATATCTTTATAATATTTTTTTAATAGCATAAGATAAGAAATTTCATTCAAGAATCTACAAACTATATATATTTTTTCTTTCAATTTTATTTTATTTTACTTTTTTATAACCGTGCATTTACAGTATATGATGCTAATTGATTGTCACAATCTCAAAACAGAGAAGTTGCAGAGACATCAAAGTCACAGATTGAAGTACATGATAGATTAAGTCAGCAACTGGAGGTATAGTTCTCATACATAAACCAAATCTTTATGTCTTTGGAAAACCATATATATGATAGGACCGCGCGTACCATCCAACCCCAAATTAGTATGATATTGTCCGCTTTGGGCCAAGCCCTCACGGATTTATTTTTGGGAAGCCCTCACGGATTTATTTTTGGGCACCTCCCAAAAGGCCTCATACTAATGGGTTGGGTTTGAACCATTATATTTTAGTTCCACTTCTCCTCTTTATCTGATGTGGGACTTGGGAGGATATCCCATCAATATATATATACTTATTTAACTTAGGTCTGGAAATGCGTGGCCATTACTATTAGGGGTCTTCTTTAGTTGAGAGAAGGAAGACAATGATAACGAAAGGGTTAGCGATATTATTTAGATTTGAGAATCAAAAAAATTTAACATCGTTCTCTTTCCGTGCCATATTATTTTTTATCTATTTTCTATTAGTAGTGACTACTAACAGAAAATAAAGCTGAAAGGCTATATTGAACTGGCTTTTTACCAAAAACAGTTCCTCTTCCGTTCATTTTTTTTTTTCTCTCTTTCTGTTGCTAAAATGCTTTGTTTTCTAAATACACTAGTTAGGGGTAACTACTATGAAATTTTTTTTTTAAAAAAAAAAAAAAGAAAAGAAAGAAATAGAAGTATCATTAAAAGGTTGTTGAATACAAATATGAAATACATATATAAATAACAGGTTTTCATTTTTTTTGCATAAGAAGCCTAACAATAAATCACGGCAGGCCCAATGCATAAATTCATCCATGTATTTTACATAAAAAATTTTATGGTACCCTCAACTTTTACTTTGACCTGTTGAACACTTTAATTTATAAAATTGTATTAACTAAATACTTCAACTTGCAAAATTATTCTATTGAATACTCGAACACCTAAATTTGGTCAATTAAACACTTATTAAATAGTTGAAAAATATGAAAATTATTGTTTGAAACATTACTTGGACATAAATACCAAAAACACCAAAAAATGTTATTATTAGTGTAGAGAGAGATACAATATTAACAAAATTCGTAACTTCAAGGGTATAATAAGTCATTGGCAAAGTTCAGGATGCCACGAGATTTTTTTCGTAAAGTACAGAGGTATATTTATGCATTTGGTCATTGGCCTAATGTATAAATTTGCCCTTGAAGTTTATACCATTTGCGTTGTGGCATCCTCAAGTTTGCGATATATCATGGCCATACATTTTTATATTTCAATAATAGCTATGCACATCCCAGAAAATGTAAAAGTGGAGGATCATGATTTAAATCTTGCAAAGTTATTTTATTTTGACGAGGAGCATAATTATTATTGAAGGGATGATGGAGAATATGGCTGACGTCCCCACTTGAGCGTGTAGGGGGAGATTTGTTGGTGGTGGTGTGCCCACTCAAGTGGGACCCACATATTTTTTTTTTGGAGTGGCGGTGCCCAACCACATGATGAAATAAAAAATAAAAAAAAAAAGGGGGAAAGTCAGAAGGTTGGTTGCCAACCATTCAAAGTTTGGCAACCAACCACGAAATAAAGGAAAAGTCATGAGTCACGACTCTCTCACTCTCTCATTCCCTCTCCTATAAATAGGAGGGGGTGCCTCTCAATTTAGATGTACCAACAACACAAAGCAGACGAAGAAGAGGTGAGAAAACAATAGAGAGTTTTTGAGTTTTAAGAAGGGTTCTTAAAACTAAGGGTTTAGAATTAGAATAGTGAAGATTATTGGGGGGTTTTTGGGAAACACTTGTGATGCCATTATTTGTATTACTCTCTTTGTAAACCCTACTATTTTTAAATAGTGGAAAGAAATATTCCGGCGTTGGGTCCAGTGGACGTAGCCCTAAACAGTAGGGTGAACCACGTAAATTTTATGTGTGTCCCATTTTAATTTTTCCGCTGTGTTTTATTATCTCCGTAATTTATTGCCGGTAACCTAACAAGTGGTATCAGCAGCCTGGTTCAGGCCGGTCAGATAGCGGACAGATACGTGGATATATTTTTGAAAATAAATATACCACGAAGACGAAAAAAATTACGACGAGTCCCGTTGGTGCAGTCCGCGTCGGAAAGACGTTGCAAAAATCGACCTTTAGTGATGAATAGTAAAATAGTAATGGTGAAAGTTACTAATTGAGTTACTGTTGCTGTGAGCCCGTCACTGTTAAGAGCCCAGCAACTTATTCACGTATAGTACTATCACGCATACAGGACTATTCACGTATAGTACTATTTACGTATACAGTTACTATTTACATATACGGTTACTATTCACTCAAAAGCATGGAAGCTAGAACGAGCAAAATATCTAGTCTAAATTGGCGCAAATTACATATATGGAGAAATTAAAATGAGGATCTCCTTATGGTAACTAAGATGCATCTACCTCGTGTTGGTCAAGCAAACGGAAGAACCAAGACTGGATGAAGAATGGCTTCGAGCATTGAAAAAAGTTGTGGTTATATGACAATTTGTCGATGATAATGTGTACAACCACATTGTAACGAAACTGCACCCCAAGAAAATTATGGGACAAGTTGAACAGCTATATGCCCTCAAATCCGGCGACAAACCAATTAATTTTATTTGAATGAACTATGAATTTTCAAATACAAGAAGGTTACTTCTGTAGCAGATCATGTTGAGTGAAATGCAGGCACATTCTCCAGCTGTCAAATATGGGTAAAAATTTGATGATAAAATCCTCGGCCTTATGGTGCCTTGCCTCCTTACCAGAGTCGTGGGAGACTTGAAGATATCAATACCAAACTCCACACCACATTATGGAGTTAGCTGGGAATTTGTTAAAAATGCTGTTCGAATGAAAGAAGATGAGACCAAAGCAACAGACATCCTCTTCATCCTCAGTAAGACCATTCTTTTAGCGGATGCTAAAAGAAATAACCAGCCCAGAGGGAGGAGCCCCAATCTAGAGTTCAAAGCAAGAGATAGAAGCCAGAGGTAAATCAAACAGATTTTCCAATATTGTGTGCCATCACTGTGGGAAAAGGGGCAGCATTAAAGGTTATTGCCCCCCCCCCGGAAAAGGTTTTAAAAAGTGATCAGGAGAAGATCAAAGGCAAAGCAAAGAAAGAAAGAGAGCAGTGATGATGAAGCTAATGTCTTGAGTTCCAACTGTTCATTGAAGACACTATCAATCTTGCAACCCAAGAGACCAATTGGGTAATTGATAGTGGGGCTACACTTCATGCAACATCCCGAAGAGAGAATTTTTCATCTTACACACCAGAAAATCTGGGTGTGGTCAAGATAGCAGACGGCAAACTGTTGAAAGTCGTCGGTAAGGGAAACATTTGCCTGGAGACAGAAAATGGTTCGAGATTAATTCTAAAAGATGTTTCGTGCATGTACCAGACATGGGTTCGAGATTAATTTTAAAAGATGTCGTGTATGTACCAGACATGCATTCTAATTTAATCTCGGTTGGCAGACTTGATGCTGAAAATTTCTGTAGCACCTTCAAAAATGGTCAGTGGAAACTCACAAAAGGTTCCATGGTGGTGGCCCATGGAAAGAAAGATCCAAAACTGTACGTGATGCATGCAAAGCTCTCCCGAGATACTTTAAATGTAGCGGAGGATGATAGTACAGTGGAACTGTGGCATAAACGACTAGGCCACATGAGTGAGAAAGGAATGACAACTCTGGTTAAAAACAACATGCTATCTGGATTGGATAAAGTCCATATGAAGTTCACCTAGACAAGTGTCCTGATTATATGGCGGGAAAGCTAAATAGAGTAGCTTTCAAGATTACCCCTCCTTCTAAAATGAAGAATGCATTAAATCTGATTCATTCAGATTTGTGTTGGACCATTGACAATGTCATATGGTGGAATCGATATTTTGTGATATTTATCAATGACCATTCTAGGAAGACCTGGGTGTACACGTTAAAGTCTTCTAAACCTGATTGAGAGACAGACAAGCAAGAAGCTGAAGTGAATCAGGATAGACAATAGTGGAGAATACACTGGGCCATTTGATGCTTTCTGCAAAGAGCATGGCATTCGACATCAAACGACACCTCCCAAGACGCCGCAACTGAACAGTCAAAACAACACCTCCGCAATGACGCCGAATTGAATGGTTTGGTTGAAGGATGAACAGAACTTTGATGGAGAGAGTCAGATGTTTACTCTCACAAATGCAAAGTTGTCTAAAAGATTTTGGGGTGAAGCTCTTCTCACAGCAGTTCATCTATAAATCGTTCACACTTGTGTTCCTCTTTCCAGTATGATACTCCAGAAAGAGTATGGCAGGAAAGAAATGTTTTCCTATGATACTTGCGGTGTTTTGGGTTGCAAAGCATTTGTGATATTCAAGGATGAGAGGCTAAGCTTGAGTCAAAACTCGACAGATGTGTTCATGGCTAATGGCCAAGATCAATTTTGGCTATAGATTTTTGATCCAATCCAGAAAAAGATGATAAAGAAGTAGAGATCGTTTTGTATTTGTTGAAAATCAGACTATTGAAGATGTTGAAAAGACTCAGAAGCAAGCTGCCGATAGAATCTGAATGATGATTCAACAGATGTGCAAATAGTTTCCTCCAATAGCAGAAACAAAGAACAAGTTTGGAAGATGAAAGACTATTCCACAAGACAAGACTAAGAGTTAGAAAAAATCCAGAAATCCTTATTCAGAATGGACCAAGAAGAAGATTTTGATGGTGTTCATGGTTCAAACCACCAGCCACCAGAAGGTTCTCACATTAGAAGGTCTAGTAGAGTCAGACAACCATCTACTAGATATTTCAGAATGAATATTATTGATGACTGACGGGGGAAGAAACCTGAAATGCCTTTGAAGAAAGCAATGGAAGTGAATACAAAGGAACGGATTGAAGCCCCATGCAAGATGAAATGAAATCCTTGCATGAGAATAAAACATTTGAGCTGGTAAAGTTGCCCAAAAGGAAGAAAGCTTGAAGAAACAAGTGGGTGTTCAGGAAAAAGCAAGAAAGAACACAGCTCCCAACCACGATTAAAAGCTAGACTGGTTGTGAAAGGATTCAATCAAAGAAAAGGTATTGAGATTTGATGAATCTTTTCACCATTGTGAAAATGACATCCATTCGGACAGTGCTCGGAAGGCCGCCAGTTTTGAATCTGGAAATCGACAAATGGATGGTAAAGACTGGCCTCGCTACATGGAGATTTGGAAGAAGAAATAACATGGAGCAGCCAGAGGGTTCATAAAAAAGGGGAAAGAAGATTAATGTTTGTAAACTGAAAGAAAAGCCGTACGGCTTAAAAGCAGGCACCAAGACCAGTGGTACAAGAATGTTGGAGTCTGTTATGGGGGAGCATAGGTAACAAAAAAGACACTTCAAAGATCACTGTGTCTTTGTAAAGAAATTCTCTGATGATGACTACATTATTCTTTTGCTCTATGTGGATGATATTTATTGTTGGTCCAGAATCCTTGTCAGAATTAATAGCTTGAAGAAACACAGCTAAGTAGTCCTTTGCTATGAAAGACCTTGGGACGAAGCAAAGCAAATTCCTTGGCATGAAGATTAACAAGAATCGAAGACCAAAGAAATATGGTTGTCACAGGAGAAGTATATTGAGAAAAGTACTTCAAAGTTTAAAATGGAGGAATTCTAAAAGCGGTAGTTGTCCTCTTGCTACACTTTAAATTTAAGCTCAAAACAGTTGCCCTTTACCGATGGAGAAAAAGGAAGAGATGAAAGATCCCATATGCTTCAGCAGTTGGAAGCTTGATGTATGCCATGGTCTGTACACAGGCCAGATATGCTCATCAGTCGGAGTAGGGGTGAAGTCGATTTCTTTTCAAATCCGGGAAAGAACATTGGGACTGTAGTGAAATGGATTTCAGGTATCGTTCGAGGTACACTAAAGTATGTTTAATTGCTTGGAGATGAAGAAGCCAAGTATTAGTTCGGTTATACCGATGCAGAATATGGCTGGGGATGTTGACTCGAGAAAGTCCCATCAGGGTTATCTAATCACATTTGCAGGGGGAGCTGTGTCGTGGCATCAAGATTACATGAAAGTGCGTTTGCTCTATCAACAACCTGAAGCAAGAATTCATAGCACTAACAGAAAGCATGCAAAGAGTTTGCTGTGGATGAAGAAGTTCTTGAATGAAACTCGGAATTATCAAGAACGATATTTTGATATTCTGCGAGCCAGAGTGCGATTTCATCTTGGGAAGAATTCTCCTTTCATAAAAGTCAAAGCATATTGATGTTAGATATCATTGCATCAGGGATGTACTGGAGATGAAGCAGTTACAGCTTGAGAAGATCCATACAGATGAAAATGGGTCAGATATGTTAACGAAGATTCTTCCAAAAGACAAGTTTGAATATTGTCGATCAGTTGCAGGGATGATGGAGAATATGGCTGACGTCCCCACTTGAGCGTGCAGGGGGAGATTTGTTAGTGGTGGCGTGCCCACTCAAGTGGGACCCACATACATGTGAAAAGAAAAAAAAATAATAATAATAAAACACGTTTTTTTTTTCAGTCAATAATACCACGGAAGAAGAAAGAGTGAAATTCAAAGGTTGGTTGCCAAACTTTGAATTGTTGGCAACCAACTACGAAACGACTCTCTTATTCTCTCATTCCCTCTCCTATAAATAGAAGAGGATGCTTCGCAGTTCAATGCAACCAACAAGGAAAGAAAAATAAAAGAGAGAGAGTTTTGAGTTTTAGAACAACAATAGAGAGTTTTTGAGTTTTAAAAAGGGTTTTTAAAACTAAGGGTTTAGAATAGTGAAGATTATTGGGGGTGTTTTTGGGAAACACTTGTAAGTGCCACTATTTTGTATTACTCTCTTGTAAGTCTACTATTTTTAATAGTGGAAGAAAAATATTCGGAGTTGGTCCCGTGGACGTAGCCCTAAACAGTTGAAGGTGAACCACGTAAATTTCTGTGTGTGTCCCTATTTTAATTTTTCCGCTGTGTTATTATTCTCGTAATTTTTATTTTGCGCATACCTAAACAGTTGAGGGTGAACCACGTAAATTTATGTGTGTCCTATTTTAATTTTTCCGCTGTGTTATTATTCTCGTAATTTTATTGCCGATAACCTAACAGATAGTGCCACAAAAAAATCACATTAATTTCAGGGGACAAATTTATACATTTGGGTAATAAACTACATATATAAAGCATAAAAAACTTTAGCTTGATTTGAGGAATTCAATCAAGTTGACATAGCAACAGACTTGTGCCATCAACCGTAAGCATGCTCCACTTGGTGCCTTAAAACAACTATTTTACAAAATTTTTCCATTTATTATGGAGGAAATCTACATATCGATTCGCATTACCATTCAAATAATGAATTAGTTTAGACAACACCACTGTGAAAGTGGTGACAAAAATCTCAAAAAATATTAACCAAAACTCATGATCTACCAAAACAGATAGATCTAAGACTATATACTTAAAAATCTATTAAAACAAATGTATTTTAGATATTTACTCATAATATATATCAAAAGAGCAAACACAAATTTAAGAATTATTCAAGGAAAACACAATATATGTATAGCATAGTTGTTTAAAGGCATAAGGCGCACTATGGCTCAAAGGGGTCCTGGAGCTTAGGCGCAATGGGCACGGTGAAGGCGTGCATGCCTGAGCGAGGTGAGGCACAAAAATAAAGAAAAAATTTTCCAAAATTGAACACAAAATTCATATTAATAGTATAAACATATAAAATCTTAAAATGAACTATTTAATACTTGGAATATCTAAATATAATTGAAAGTAATGTATAATAAGATGTTAAGAATTATAATCATAGCTTTAAATAAATCATAATTTCAGTAGTCCTAAACTAAAAGTTAGCTTAAATTTCAGCAACACAAATCAACAAAAAATTGGCAGCATAACAACTTATAATTGAAGCTATTTGGACTTGAAAGAGAAGAGAAGGGAGTAGAAGCCGATTGTTGAATCAAATTGAGAGAGAGAGAGAGATTAAAAGAATAATTGAGAGACATATCTTTCTTTTATGTTAATCAATTGCTCAATCGAAGCAGAAGACTTCTTTGTCAAGGCTTTAATTGATTTAAATCATCTAATTGAGGGCTTCCTTTAGTTGTTAATGAATTGGTGTAGAGGAGTTTGAGTAGAGTGGAGCTGCATTTTTGCTTCTGCAAATCTACCAATATTTTCTATTTCTTTTAGTTTTTTTTTATTAATAGAAGTCTGTATAAACACAACCAAATTGCATATATGAAAAAGGAAAACCCTAAAATTTATTGATGGTATAAAAAAAAATGTGCTCTTTTTTATGCTTTGCACCTATGCCCTAGGCAAGGGCTTTTTTCCATAGGCTTTTGCCTTAGTAAGGTCGTCCGCCTTTCTGCGCTTTGAGTCAGACGTGCTTTTCGTAATTATGATCGCTGGTGGCCACCCAAAAGAAAATGAAAAAGCGACATAAAGATTATGAAAAACAACTATGAAGTCTTAAGGTTTAACTTAAATACACTAATTAAGATCTCTATTTTAATATTAGTTATAAAGTCCCTAAGTTTTGATTCCATTACACTAATTTAGAAATTTCTCAATTTGTTAAGTTGTTATGCACCCCAAACTTAAGATATCATGTGCTGGTCATATTTTTTTATAGTAATGAGTTGTTTTAAGGGTTACCTCTTTCTCTCTCTTACATATCAAGCCTAATTTCCTGCAAAATATCTCTTTCTAACTTTCTCTTCTCTGCTTGCATCCATAAATACAAGGGCAAGACTAACCTAATCTTGGTGCATGGGTAATCAAAAATAATTTTTTTTATTGAAATAAGGGTATTTTGACCATTTATTTGAAATAAAAATAATAAAATATTAATAGTTTTTTAAAATTCTTCATTGATTCGCTTGGTATACAGATGGTTTTATACACTATGTGTAGGTAAGTCTTATCCTAAAGTAACTCCTAATTTTACTACTAAGTAATTTAGGACAACAATTGAATGAGGTTATGAAAGTATTAAACATATTTTAACTTCTAGTGCATTTATTGCAAGTAGGAAGGGATAGATATTTTCTTAATTACTTTCTTTAACAAATATTCATATTTTTAGTTGTTTGATAAAATCTTTTATTAGTATTGCTAAATTATTTTATTTGCTTCCTTTAATTTGGAATAGGTACAAAAGAAACTACGGATGAGAATTGAAGTGCAAGAAAAGTACTTGCAAGCCATATTAGACAAAGCCCAAAAGAGCCTTTCACTTGATATTAAGAGCAGTGACAATCCTGATTTGGCTCTATCCAATCTTATTCAGAATATCAATGCAGAAAACAAGAAAGAAGACAATGTTAATGACTTCACAAATTTTTATAGCAAGGCAACCTCTTCATCTTTGCATATTAAAAGGGAAGAAATTAAATATTCTAATCACAAGGCTGAAGGTCTTACATATTTAGACTTAAATACAATGGATAACTGTGATTTTGTTGCTGTAAATACATCTGAATTATTGAAACTCAACATGCTTTCATACAGTAGTTAAGAAAAAAAAAAGGTTAAATATATAAACATTTTTTGAACTTTAATGATTTTTATAATTCTGTTAGTATTAAAATTGAGTAAATTATCATATAATCCTCTAGTCATATCATCTATTTTCATAATTTAATTATGTAGTCTCTCAATTTATCCTTGTTATACTACTTAATCTTTCTGTTTATTTTTCCATTAGTTGCTACTGAAATATAATTATTATCGTTAACAAATACACTAGTTAGTGATAAAGTTATACTCAAATACACTAGTTAGAACCATCTATTTTTAAAATTTAACTATATAGTCTGTCCATTTTATTGCTGCTACTAGTTAATTATTTTGATTGATTGGTGAATTTAACAAGAGGATTAAATATATAGTGCAACGGGCATAAAATTGAGTTGTGTATAATTAAATTTTGAAATATAGGTCTTCCTTACTATATTTCAGTATAATAGAAATTTTGATAATTTTGAACACAAATTTTATTTAATGCAATATTACAAACCTAAATAATTCGGTGTGAATCTTAAAAATTTGAAACTTAATCATGTAAAAAACACTTTCAACATCGTTTAAGTGAGTCTTCCTTTTCCCTTCTTTATTTGGTTTTATGAAAAATGGAACCAAATTTTGTGAATTGAAGAATCCATAATAATAGTGAGGAGATGTCTTTGGTAGTCTTCACACGTGCAAAAATCAAATATAGAAATTGAATGTTGTAGTTTCACTTTTCTTTCTTCCAATTTCTATGATGAAATCCCAAGTCTTTGCTGAAAGGAAAGAAGAGGCCATGCAGTGCGGATCCATCTTACAAAAAAACTTACAAAAAAAAAAAAAAAAATATATATTATATCATATCATACTTATATATATAATATATAATAGAGGCAGAAACTAGTAAGATAAATCAAAATAACATGTGGAGCATACATAAATACACATTATGTACCTTTTCCAAATAACAGACGGTGATTTTCCCGTCCATGGAGCCAAAAGTTATTTCTTTACTTTTCATGTAGAGAATGACTTTTGTTAACTGTCATTTCATTTAGTCCACTAGCCTTTAAAGAAACTTGTCCCATAGTGGGTCGAGATTGCAGGATTTGCACCTAAATATATAAATGCAGTTACCTACTTAGGTGTAGGAAGTTTAATTATATGCTCTTAGACGATTTAAGTATTGAATATATGCCTTTAAACACATACTTCTAGGACACTTTAAAGCTTAAATGGCCATGCCTATAGGCTCTAGCACTTAAAGCCTATGTTGTAGGCTTTAATACAACATTATATATATATAGAGGCAGAAACTATAAGATAATCAAAATAACATTTGAGCATACATAAATAACATATGTACTTTCCAAATAATCAGACGGTGATTTCGTCATGAGCCAAAAGTTATTTTTACTTTTATTTTAGAGAATGACTTTGTTAATGTATTTCATTTAGTCACTAGCTTTAAAGAAACTTGTCCCATAGTTGGTCGAGATTGAGGATTTGCACCTAAATATATAAATGCAAGTTACCTACTTAGGTGTAGGAATTTAATTATATGCTTAGATTTAAGTATTTAATTATATGCTTAAACACATACTTTAGGATTTAAGCTTAAATGCATGCCTTAGGCTTAGCACTTAAGCCTATGTTTTAGGCTTTAATACACATTTTATGCTTTATAATGTCATGCTTGAAAATCCTAATTCATTGCTATATATGCTTTCATAGTAAGACCTTTGGATTTTGAAATAGCATAAATATCACTTGAATATTAAAATACATGTGTTATGATTTGCATATTGCCTTGCATGTTAGGATTTTGCTTGTTACCTTGCATGTTGAGACTTGCATGTTGCTTCTACCTCTTTCTCCTCAAACTTTTGGCAGCTAAAGCCAAATGACATTTCTAAACTTTTAACTAAAGCCAAATGATGTTTTGATAGAGTAAGGAACAAAGACAAGTAATATTCAACAATGAAATTGAAATCAACTAAACAGAATTGGGAGAAAACTTGATTTTCTTATATTTAATTTTAGAATAATATTTTAAGTTGAATAACGAAAGGGAGAGGTTCTTAACTGATTATAGAAATTTCAATATAAAAGAGAAAAAATAAACAAAGAAAGAGTTCTTGATCCCAAGGAATCAAGCCAAGAAACCCAAGGATTCTCCAACAACAATCTCTGCTAAATAACAAACTTTTAGAAGAAGCCTTTCTCAAACATTGCTCTCCTATTATATTAGTTGGAGCCAAGGCTACCATAACTGTTTGGGACAAGTGGTTCCTTTTTAGTGGTTAGACTTGATTCTTTACATATCTCCAATGCAGTAATTCTCATATTGACTTGTGTCCCCTCCTTATGCCTTCCAGAATATACCTTGAGAGGCATTAGACTGGGCCTATCAATATCACCTGCTTGAGAAGCAGCCTTGTCCTCAAGGTTGAAGTGAGGGAACTAGCCCGCTATGTCTAGTTCATCAAGCCGACTAGGCTCTTCTATAGGTCGCCTTCCCAAATGGATTAAAACTTGCTTGGTAAATTTATTATCTTTGAGAACAAACCAAGTTAATTTGAAGCATGGATTTAGGTTCCACCACTAGTTCTTCTTTAGTTAACCAAATCAAGAGGAAGGTCAGTTAATGGCTTGTGATCTCGTATTACCTTCAATTGTGATATATGGAAAACTGGGTATATATGAGTAATAGGAGACAAGAGAAACTTATAAGTGACTTTGCCAATCCTCCCCAATTTCTTAAATGGAACATAATAGCATGCCACCAGTTTAGCATTAGGCCTAGAAGATATTGTTTTTTTGCCGATATGATGAAGTTTAAGGAATACCTTTTCCCCCACTTGGAATTGAATATCACGCGGTGTCGTTTAGCTTACTTTATCATCAATTATTGGACATGTTGGAGGTTGAGTTTCAATTGCCTAAGAATGTCATCACATTTTTGAAGATGTTCAACCATTTCCTCCACTTTAGTTTTGCTCAAAAGGTACTTTTGCAAGGTAGGAGGCGACCTGACATAAACCACCTCAAAAGGAGTTATACCACCAGCATTGTGAAAACTAGTGTTGTAAGAATATTCAGCCTAACTAATCCACTCATAACATGACCTTGGTTGTTCTGAAGAAAAACACTAGAGGTAGGCTTCAATGCTCTAATTCAAGACTTCTATTTGCCCATCCATTTGTGGGTGATAGGCAGAGCTAAACCTCAATTTAGTGCCTTGTAACTTAAAATTCTCATTCCATAAATTACTAAAGAAGAGTGGATCACAGTCACTAACCATGGTCTAAGGACCTTGTGATGCCGAATAATTTTCTTTACAGAAACTTCTACCACTTTTTTACCAGTAAATGGTCTTAAGGGCAGAAAATGGGCGTACTTTGAGATTTTATCAATAACGATAAGGATACAGTCCATACCTTAAGATTGCAGCAACCTAAAAATTAAGTCTAAATCAATATCTTCTCATATCATGCTTAAAATTGAAAGGGGTTGAAATAAACTAGCTGGGCTTTGTGCTTCAAACTTGTGTTGTTAGTAAATTAAGCATTCCGCAATAAACTTTTGAATCATTCCCATCATTCTTATTCAGTAAAAATTTATCTTAATTCAATAATAGGTGCGATAAGCACATGAGTGTCCACTAGAAGGTGTGGAATGAAACTCCAAAATGGTCTTGTGAATCCATTTAGAAGATGAGGGCAACACTAAGTGACCCTTGAAGTAAAGTCGATCATGAACTAGAGAATAGTGGACAGGATGCTTGGATTTCTGCAAATTTGAAATTATACCTTAAATGAAGGTGTCTACTTGAATTTCCTTATATATCTCATCCCAATATGCCTATTGAGGCTGGGATAGAGTTTGGAGTAAGAGGTTTTCATCCCGCCTCGCCTATTTAAAGCATCATTAGCCTTGTTTACTATACCTGATTTGTACTTGATCATAAAATCATACCCCATAAGCTTGGATATCCAGTATTATTGAACTAGAGTTGAAACTTATTAATGTAATAAGTGGCAGAGGCCTCATTGACCTATCCACATCATAGAATTTTCGACCAATCAAATCAGGCACTCAATGCCTAATGGCAAGAACTAGAGCCATCATCTCACTATCATAAGCTCAATGGTGAGAAGAACTTCTTGAAGTGGCTTACTATAGAAAGCAGTTAGCCTTCAATGTTGCATAAGGATAACCCTTACACAAGTTCAAGAAGCATCCGACTAAACGAAAAATTGTTTATTAAATTTTCGAATTGCTAGCATCAGAGAGGAAATGACAGCTTATTTAAGAGCTTCAAAAGATGCTTAGGTAGAAGTGTTCCAAGTAAATTATAAATGAGCTTCTTTGCAAAAAAGGGCTGTTAAAGGTTAAGCAATTTGTCCATAGTTGCGAATGAATTTTCAGTAATACCTTGTGAGATCCAAGACCCTCTCACTGATTTTACTAATTTTAGTGGTGGCCAACAAAGAATACTAAATTATTAGATGGATCCATGGCAACCTCGATATTGGAAATCACGTGCCTTAGTACTTAATAGATTACCGCCCGAAAGAACACTTCTTTTTGCTAAGATAAAGCTCATGTTGGCGGAGCAATTGCAGGATGATAAAAAGATGTTAGATGTGTGATTCCCAATCTTTATTGTAAATCTTCGTTGAAGAACATTAATGCAAAGTGCCTCAAGTACGATAAAAATAACATTCATAATCACTTGGAAGGTTGCTAGAGCATTAGTAAGTCCAAAAAGCATAACTAGAAATTCATAATGGCTAGAGTTGGTGCAAATAGTTGGTCTTATGGATATCCGAAACGGCCACCCGAATCTTATAAAAACTCGACTTCAGGTCTAATTTAGTGAAGAAATATGCTCCATATAATTCATCTAAAAGCTGTTGGATTACTAATATAAGATACTTATTAGGAATTGTAGCCTTGTTGAGTTTATGATAAATGACACAAAAATGCCAACTGCTGAATTTGTTA